TATATATATAATACAGAGTAGAACGATATCTTTAAAATGCATTTACAAAAAAAATCGCAATCGCAGAACCATGTTACAGTAAAGTCCACGAATCTACCTCGAACAGGAAAATAATGAATTCGCGGGTATCTCGAACATAATGCTCGGTCCCGTTTCAGTCTCTATTTTTAAAATGTGTTTTAGTTTTAGTATTGTCTTCATGCAGTTCCCGAACACGCAACACTCGAATCGCGAACAAATCCACTTTGCATTCTCAACTAAAGACCCGGCTTTACAGCATTTGTGGTCGCGTGTAGGTGTTTCATTGTTATTGTTACAGCCAAAACGAGGTCTTTGTCTCTCCACGAGAGGCTAGAGAAAGGGGGGGGGGGGAATGGGAGTTGGGGAGTGATGCTGATCGCTCCTCACGACTGGCTCCCCACAAGATGGCAGGAGGTGTAACTTTCTGTAAGCCAATGAAATGAGAGGAAAAGAATGACATAGGAGTTGGCTGTGCACTCGTGAGATTTTCTGCTTTCCACTTTCATTTATCTTCTTGCCTTCACACCGTCAACACTAGGGCGCGGCGTAGCTCTGTAGTCTGCTCGATTAATCGAAGGCTTTGCAAAGCAGCGGACAGCCCCAAGTCTCAAATCCCGTCCGTAGCAACAAGCCCCACGATTCACACAGTACTGATTTGCGCTAGGCCTAGTGAATTGTCCCAGGACAAGCTCGAAACATGACCTGCTGACTTGTGCTGGCTCGATACACCGAGTGAGCGGCACGCCGCAGGACTGCTCGATGGCGGCAAGACCGCTCGATGTGTTCAAACAGCAGTATCGCTCGTTGTGTGAACTTTGAACCGTGGAGGAAGGGGAGAGGCTGGGCTTGTTTTGGTAAAGAGAGAGAAGTTATTTTTAACTTCCCGCCGTTGATCAGCTAAGCGAGTGGATAAGTGAGAGGGAGCGCGGTATTGTAGTAACAGAGACCTAGGTTTCTGGTAGTAATAAGAATAAGTAGACTTAGATTACCCTAGAATGGAAAACTCCAGGGGTCGTTGTGATTGGCTTTGTATCGTATGTATGTAACCTATTTTGTAGATGAGTTACACTTACACTGACATAATACAGAACATTGAGGAGACGGGCTAGGCCTACTTCAACCCAATGTCAGGACCAACCTGGGCTGAGAGGGAACAACGCCCCAGCAGAAAGACGGAGGTTCTCAGTAAAAATTTCTCCCCATACGGGAATCGAACTGGGGTCTTTTGCGTG